GGGGGAGGGGGGGGTAGGGGAAAGGGATTGTCAGGGATTTTTTGCTTGTTTTTCGTGGCCTGTTTTTGTTGGTAGCATTCTCAAAGCGACTAAAATGACTTGAGCAACTGTGTTATGACGGTGACAATATCCAACTTTCTTTCCCCCTTCTACTTCCTCCCATCATCACTGACGTTGGCTACTATCGATGATTGTGGTGATGTAGCTGTTACATGTACACTTTGTGAGTGGGTCGTCGGCGGGTGCTCCGGGGTGGTTTGCTCTTTCTTTCCTATCAAACATCTACCGTCCTTATCTCTTCATCTGTTTTTTGTTTATATTACTTTCTAGTAACCCCACAGTAATTGTCGGCCCTTATGTGACCAAATTGTGATGCAAATGCGGTAAAACGCTTTCTAAAAGTAAAATATGAACTTTCCAATTGTATCAGTTTGTAAAATGTTTTTACTCTCTTCGCTGTTGCACGCAGATGACATCAGTTCGATTCCTGAGTGGGTGAACGATAGGTATTTTTTCCCCCAAATCTAGCACCCTCGTCTATCTATTCTACTGCAGTACTATACAATATGTGAGGCAGCGTGGTGGAATCAGGCTCTCGTCAAAATAATCAAAGTGAAGAAACTTGCATTTTTCCACGGGCTTGTGAATTTTTATCAACTTTTTGTTTTTTGGCTCAACATCTTTCATGCCCATTAAAAAACTCATTCCTGTGTGGATTTTTCTGAAAAGCCTTGATTAAAGGCACAAAAATGAAAATTTTCAGTTACCACGGACTCTTAAACTAAGGAAATAACTAATCTTTGGCGGCCATTTTCTCACTAATTTTACCTCTGAAAACATGTGACCCCCACCTCCTCCTTTTGCAAATATCTCGACTTGTATTCAAGATAAAAGGATATTTTTTATAAAGACAAGAGAACAAGCTTTAAGATAATATCAATAATTCTACATGCCAAAAAATTGACGAGAGCCTGATTCCACCACGCTGTCTCACATATATACTAGTTTCTCAGCCTGCGGCGTTGGCCCTGACTGACAGAGCTGAAGCAGCCAGCTTCCGATTTAAAAAACCCTGAAATTCTTTCGATTGGGGAGTATGACACCGACAACTTATTGCAAATAGTTTCTATATTGTTGTTATTGTTGTTTTGTTTTGTTTTTCTTGAATAACAAACATGAACTGACAGACAAATGAACAACAGAAAACCAGTAGTTTCTCTGTGGCTGCTGTTTGTTCGTTTTTTTCTTAATATATAAAAAAAATAACAGACAAATAAACAAACAAGGTGCAAAAAGTTTCTATTTAGTTGTTTGGTTTTTTCCCCTTAAAATCTAACGTGAACTGACAGACCAACAAATAATAAAGTATAACTAGTTTCTGTTTCGTTGTTGTTGTTTCGTTGTTGTTGTTTTGTTGTTGTTGTTGTTGTTGTTGTTGTTTTGTTGTTGTTGTTGTTGTTGTTGCTGTTGTTTTTGCTGTTGTTGTTGTTGTT